CTCCTTAATAATCCTTCCAATAATTTTCCCAGAGATTGAAGTCAAATTCACAGATCTGTAATCTATAGGTACTTTTTTCCCCTCTTTTTTGAAAACTGGGAAATTTGCCCTTCTCTGATCTAATACCACCTCCATTTTCCATGATCTTTCAGATATGACTCACTTTGTGATCACATATGTCAGTTTTTATTCATCTGGACCAGGTAACTTATCTTGAGTAGCAACTTCCTGGCAGTAATTTTTGTTCTTTCATTTCCAGAGCAGAGTTTATTCTCCTTTCAGAGAAATCAAGGTGGAGAAACACATAAGAATTGAACAGTTACACCGTTTCTCTGTCATCAGTTTTCTTCCCATCCATCCTAAGCAAAAATCGAATCCATTCTCTTATCTGCCTTTTTTACCTGCTATAATTTTTATATAAAAATTTTTGTTGCCCTTATCTCACCAGTCTTATCTTATTCTTCTTATTATTATTGAGCATTCCTGAAACTACTTTACAGAACCTTCAGGGCTCTGTTTCTATTTGAATTTACCACCATTGGGCTAGAATATTGGGCTAATTCTAATAAGATGAAATCCAGTAGGGATGAATGTAAAAAGTCTTGCACTTGGATACAAAAATCAATTTCACAAATATAAGATGGGGGAATCTTGCATAGATAGCAGTTTTTCTGAAAAGAGAGCTGGGTGTTTTAGTGGACTGAATGATTGATGTAAGTCAATAGTGGGAGGAACCAGCCAAAAGAGGAAAATGTAATCTTTGGCTCCCAGTAAGGTTAGTGATAAACCCACTCATCTGCATCTGAAGTATTGTGTTCAGTTCAGTGTTCATGATTTAAGAATAAGAGTTGCCTCATCTTATACTCATCTTCTGTTAACTGGCCTTGTTTCCATCTTACTTTTTTTTTTAAATATAAGTTGATTGGTGAATTTTAAAATTCCATTTTCTCCCTCAAAGGAATTGCTTGCCATTGTATCTTCAGAATGTCATTCTTGAGCATCTCCCATTTCTCCTGGTTAATGGCCCCTAAAGCATTTTACTCCATGGTAACCTGCCTGTCTTTCCTCCAAACCTACTGAAATCTGCCTTCTTCAAATCTAGGGTGTATGTCAGACTACACACACATTTCCTTTCATTTATCATAAACTCTAGGATGGCATGGTCACTTCCCTTCAAGGTTCCCATCATTTCCACTCTAGCAACCTGAGATAATATTTATAAAGCACTTAGCACAGTACTGGCACATACTAGGTGCTATACAAATGCTTGTTCCCTTTCCCCTCTCTATTAGTGACAATCAGATACAGATTAGAATTTGCCCTTGTTGATCTCTTCACTTTTTGAAAGATGAAATTATCCAAAAAAGCAAGTCAAGAAGTTTCTAACTCATATCCTTTTGGCACAGAGAGAGCTCCAGTAGATGCCACTGGCAAAGTTTCAGTTTTTAGGTTAAAGGAAATTTTATTAAATGATATTTTGGGGAGGGGCTTGGCAAAAGAGTTAAGTGACTTGCTCAGGGTCACACAGCTATTAAATGTCAAGTGTCTGAGGCCGGATTTGAACTCAGCTCCTCCTGACTTCAGGGCTGGTGCTCTATCCATTGCACTACCTGGCTGCCCTAAATGATATTCTTTTGAAAAATATTTATTGAATATAAATAAATGGCCTATATGTTGAATATTACAATATAATTTTATTAATGATTAAAACTCAACTGTAGTGTAAAATAAAACAGAAAATACACCTCTTTCCCCCCCTCCACACACACTATGATTAAGGCCCAATAACTGTAAAGTGTTGAAGTCCCTAGCACTGGGCAAGCCAAGCTAAAACAATGGTTGTGGTTTCTATTTAAGTAGGATGGGAAAAAATGCTTTCCATCCCAAGTATCACACTGACGGGCTTCAATCATTTGGCCCAGGTGATCCTCAGCATCAAAGGGAAGGAATACAATGAGGGCCCATGTACACCTTCCATATTGTAAAACAATTATAGGCCAACAGCATTTGTGGTATCCAAAGGACTCCTGCAATTCCACTAATTTGTAGTAGGAAATTTCTCACCTTTTGTGCTGTGCAAAATGTCAGCACCACCTGAGTGAAAGCAAAAGGCTTCCTTGTCACAGCTTTCCCAGAAGGGAGTAGGGGTGAGAGGACCTCACATATGGAATATCATCAGCTGTCACTGTAATAAAACAGAAAAACTTTTCTGAATTGCATGTGGAATGTGACTCGGAAATGCTACTGTCCTGCTAATTAGAATATCATTTTAAGGCCAAAAAAGCTTATTTTATGACTGTAAAACTGCATTTTCTCAAGAAGAACATTTATACCCACATTGAGGATAAATGAGTGTCTTGCAGATGTGTGGGAAGAGCAGGGCCAGTGACATGTCTGTCACTGGTTATTCTGCTACTATTCTCCTGTCTAAGCAGCAGGGTATAGTGAGGAGAGTATTTATTGGCTTTGGAATCAGAAGACTTAGGTTTTCGGCAACTAGATGGATAGGGTATGGGGTTTGGAGTTAGAAAAACCTGCCTCAAATCTGCCTCAGTCACTTATTAGCAGTGTGACCCTGGGTGATTTATTTAATCTCTCTCTGCCTCAGTTTTCCTATCTGTAAAATGGAGACAATGATTGCACTTACTTCATAGGGTGGTGGTAAGGATGAAATGAGACAACAGTAAAGCACTCTGCAAACCTTAGAAATGCTATGTGGATGCTAGCTAGTTTTATTATGATTTTCCTTGCTTGAATCCTAACTCCGGCACCAACTAGTTGTGGAACCCAGAGCAAGTCACTTATCTTCCAATAGTTTAATTACTTCACCTGAAAAAGGAAATATAATATTCATACCAGAGCAGCTAGGTATTGCCCGGCCTGGAGTCAGGAAAACTCATCTTTCTGAGTTCAAATCTGGCCTTAGACACTTACTAGCTAGGCGACCCTGCGTAAGTCACTTAACCCTATTTGCCTCAGTTTCCTCATCTGTAAAATGACCTGGAGAAGGAAATGTCAAACAGCTCCAATATCTTTACCAAGAAAACCTCAAATGGGATCAGACAAAAGAGTCAGACAAGATTGAAAACTACTGACTGAATATTCACGCTTTCTACCTAATGGGATTGTGGCAAGGACAGTACCATGTAACCTTAAACCCCATTATAAGTGAGTTACTATTAACAATAGTATGTTGTGCAGAAATATACGCACAGACTTAATTTAAATTCACACCCCTCCCCAACTAAAATTTCAAAAAAGACTTTTTCCTTTATGACTTACAGAAATAATTATACCCACAGCAAAGAAGGGTCACTTTCATTTGGTGGGACACTGCTCTCCCCCCACCCCAGCAGTGCAAGTATCTCTTTGGCAAAATGAGGCCTACTGGAACAAAAGCCATCCCATATATACTTTCCATGAGTAAAAACATCTCTGCTGAGCTTTCTCTCTTTATGGCAAATGTGAACTTGGATTATGATCTGCTGATTCTCATTTGATACTCCAATAAGGTTATGTTTCAATTTCTACTGGCTTACCTTGAATAACTAAAACTACTCAATCTTTAGATTGCACTGCTAAAGTTTCTTAGTCATTACAGATGTTTTCATTGACAGCTCAGGGATAGGATATGAAATATTACTGAAAATAGAAGTGAGAGCCAGGCAGTAGAGAGCCTTAAATGCTAGACTGATATACTAGAGGCGATAGGGAGTCTTTAAAGAATGGATTATAAATTCCCCTCCACTATGTTACCAGGATCTCAGCTCACTGAAATTGGATGAATATTGGTAAAAATATAGTTTGGGGAATATGAAAGCACTCTGTCCACTGTGCCTCCTAGCTGCCCTCAACCTAATGGGTAGTAGTTAATTTAATCTTGTCCAGTTTAGCTCCCTCCCACCAAATGCTCATTGAGCAGAAAACAATCACAGATAGAAAACAGATATTCATCAATCAGGCAAGCTCTACAGCTCTACTCTGCAAGAGTAAAGGGAGCTCTGCACCCCAAAAAATGAAATGAAATATCAGCTTGACTGAAGAAAGAAAGAAAGATCTTACCTGAGAAATCCAACCTTCACAGGGCTCTGGGAATCACGGGACATTTTAGAGTGCGGCTTCCTCCCCATATGCCTGCTACTCTGAGGTTCTTCCTTTCGCCATTCTAAGTCCATGCCTTCTCTCTCCTTGTCCCATCTCTCCCAGAAATATCTCGGTCAATCAAGAGTCACACCTCCCTTCCCCCAAAGTCTAGGGGAAGGCCAAGCCTACCTGAGGGTGGGGAGCCAAATTAGGAAGAACATCGATAAACCAGAAAGGCCCCAGAAGAGACAACCTGGAGAATGAAAAGCCTTGAGTTTCTGCTATATGAGGAATCAGCTAAAGGAATTAGGGAGGTTTAACACCCTCCAAAGAGGAGTCTTGGGAGGTTAATAAAGTCAGTGTCTTCAATTATTTATTTAAAGAATTCTCACCTCAGAAAGTGTTTAGGCTAGTTCTATTGCACATACACATATGTGGGTATTATGTATATACATATATATTACATATACATCATCTCCACCCAAAAAAATATGAGCTCCTTGTGAACAGGAACTGTTTCATTTTCATCTCACCCCCAAAACCTTGCACACGGTAGGTCCTTAATAATAAATGGATGTCTCAGAGGAGAAAATAGAGACTTGATTTCAGGTAAAAAGTTTTCCTCATCATTTGAGCTCTTCCCAAGTGCAATGGGCTGTTTCCAGAGGCTCCCCCTCACTAGAGATCAGCCACTGTACAACTGATATTGTAGCTACAATAGCAATATTGTAGTAGGGATTCTTATTCAGGGACAGGAGATTCTTGGAAACATTTTCAAGCCAGTGTAAGATTATCTTGTCTACGCTAGTAACGACTGGGGCTAAATCAATGTTAGATGTATTTTTTATATATATATAGCAGAAGCATTTCTGTTCCAATTCTGTATGTATTGTGACTTGCTTTTACTATTTTTGCAGGTGGGAGTCCTTAGTGCTAGTGCTAATGTACATTATCTACATCATTATTATGAAGTAAGTAATACATGCTTTTCCCCTGCTTTCTTTCTCAAAGCTCTTTCTAGATTCCATGTGTTGTGGCACTCTGGGGAAATTACTTGGGGGGGTGGGAGGGACACAGAGCAGTATTTCACTGCAGATGTTAATAAAACTTCTCCAGAGCATTAAGAATAACAAGGCTTCTTCCAACTCCGACTTCCAGTTTTTCCATTCGAAAGAAGGGAGCGTCTTCTTGATCCTGATAACTCTATTTCTCTTCTTTTTATCAACAAAAAGATAAAATCTTCCTTCCACATGGAAAATTACTGTCACGTATGTTTCAGATGGGGGGGTCAGTGCTAGTTTCACTTTTTACAAATTTTTGAAGATATAAAATGTTTGACTTTAGTAATTAGCAGGAGAGGTTGACAAGGTAGATAGTGTTTTATTCTAGATCATTTAGAGCGTACTGAAAACCTTTTTACTCCCCTTCAACAATATAGAAACAGATGATCTGACCTTAACAAATAGTTAGCAAGAATTCTGTTGTTGTTATTGTAATCAAAACTAAATGCTGTGAAATTATAATGACCTAACTTGACCCCAAAGAAAAGATATGAGAAGTCTCTTCTCTCACCTTCTTTGCAGAGGTGGGGAATTATGGGTATGGAAGACTACAAATAATGTCAAATTTCTTCCATGTTTTGGTTAGTTTTCCCAAACTTTCTTTTCTTTTTTATTCTTTGTGATAAGGGATGGTTCTCTGGGAGGTGGAAATGAGGTACTGGGAAATATAAGTGTAAAACTAAAACAAATCAATGAAATTTTTATAAATGAGATGAAAAATTGCTGGATGATGTAATTCCTCCCCTTTGTAGCCATACCCTATGTGAGTTCTTTCCTAACTTAGCCCCACTCAGCTCTCCAGCAGTAACTTTACAATATTTCAGAGTCTCTGTCTCCTCCAGATAAATTTGTCTTCATATTTTAGGGTGAAGTCCTTGCTGTTTGCCCTAAGCAGACTTTGTGGTGTTGATTGCAAGCAACAAAATGGCTTGTGCCACCTCTGGTGGACAGAAGCTTTGGTTTGGCTTTCCAAAAAGTCTTTCCTTCAGAGAATCCCAATCAATAAAGGAATTCCTCAACAAGTAATTACTGGGCAATGATTGTGTACCCAGTACTGCTAAGGCACCATGAGTCACTGTGGCCTGACAGAAGTGCTAGCCTTGGAGCCAAAAGAGCTTGATTTTTTGCATGAGATGCTTGCTAGCTTTGCGACCCTGGGCAACTCACTTAATGTTTCAGTGCCTATTTTCCTCATCTGTAAAATGGGAATACTAATACTTGCACTACCAGCCTTATGGGATTATAATGCCCTGTAATGTAAATTATAATGATAATAGCTTGTATTTTGAAAGCTCTTTACATACATTATCTCATTTTATCCTCACAACAATCCTATGTTGGGGAGCTGAATGGAGTCAAGTCTGAAAAGAGCTCACATGAGGTACGGTCACCAAAGGAAGGAATTATGCCACCTAATAGCTTCTCATTATTATCCACATTTTACAAATGAGACAACTGAGGGTAAGAGAAGTTAAGGAACTTGCCCACAGTTACAAAGCTAGTAAGTGTCTGAGGCAGGATTTGAACTCATCTTCCTGACTCCAAGTCTAACTCACTATTCATTGTGCCATCTAGCTACCTATCCATTAAAAGCCTCATTACTATTAAACAAAGCATTGGTGGTATCTCTTGATTTAGTACTCTCAAATATTCAAATTAATCTGTTATATTGGGAGCTCCCTCCAAACAATGCAGATCATAATTCAGTCATTCCAGCCTATCCTTCGTGACTTTTGTCCACATCCTCCCCTAAGTTCACCCCAAGGAACTCCCTTGATATGAGGCCTCCCTCACTTTCTTCTTCCCAGCCATGCAATGAGGCTCCCCACCTGTCATCACTTGTCCTCATCATGTGACCAGTCTATGTTTCTCCTCCTACCATAGGAATCCTATCAAAGGAACTTTGGAAAATAGGAGTAAAAGATGCCATCAAGGAAATGTATGATAAGAGTAGAAGATATGATAGGTTCAGTACTCACTTTAGATAAAAGTTAAATATCTTTACCCCAATGAAACAATGGCTCCCACTCAGCATGGGTTTTATTGCATTCATTAGGGTTAGTAAGTTCAAGTGTAAAGGGGATGAGAGTTAGGGAAATTGCTAAACTGAGCATCTTATCCCTTGTTGTTGTTTAGTCATGTCTAACTCATCATGACCGCATGGACCACAGCATCCCAGGCCTTCTTCACTCTCTGTCAAGTCTGTCCAAGTTCATATTCACTGTTTCCATGACACTATCCATCCATCTCATCCTCTGCTGTTCCCTTCTCCTTTTGCCTGCAATTTTTCCCAACATCAGGGTCTTTTCCAGTGAGCCCTGTCTTCTCATTATATGGCCACTCTCATCCCTACTTCCCACCATTACAGTTCCCCATGATCGGTGGATAGAAGGAACATAGGCAAATGAACATAATACATAGTGAGCAACTAATCTCCTCCATTACTGAACATACGCAACATGAAAAACATTGGTGTGTCTATCTATGCTGACTTCTCCAATGTTACTTCCATTCCAGCTGTTCTAACTAGGAAGATCCAAATAAAATTGGGATTAAAACTTCAATCTGTATTTCTCTCTCTCTCTCTCTCTCTCTCTCTCTCTCTCTCTCTCTCTCTCTCACACACACACACACACACACACACACACACACACACACATACATCCCCTTTTACATTTTTTCGTAAATTCCACTTTGGAGTTCTAAATTGGGCTAACTCTGCTGTTTTAGTTTCATCTCTGCAATTGAAGATTTTAATCATTAGGACTGTGTTGTGTATGCTTTTTCCTGCGATTTATAAAATTGCATCTTTTCACAATTAAAAGGCTTCGGGTGCACATACAAAATTTAAAACACTCAATTAAAAAACACAAAATAGAAGCGCAGCAGTTAAAAACAGCCCATATTAGCACATTCATGTCCTCCTGGGAAGACCAGCTTAAGGATGAGTCTCAACATTCTGTCTGAAGATTAAAAAACAAGCTCAGCTGGCCACAGAGGTAGGGGATTTTACAGCAATAGCTTCATGCCCATTAAAGGAAGCATTCCAGAGAGCGGGAGAGGGGGGCACTGTCAGAGGTCTCTATTAATCTGAACTTTTTTCACTTTCAGAACAGTCAGAGAAAATGGGGGGGAGGGTGTGGGGAGAATAGCAAAGACCTGCTCTGCACCAGAAATTCTATCAAATATTCTGGTAGCCCATGAATTTTTCAGACCTGTTTTATTTATTGGAGGTTTTTGAACTATAAGGGAAGGGAAGCTAGGTGGCACAGTGGACAGAGTGCTGGGCCTCAGGTCAGGAAGATTCATCTTCCTGAGTTCAAATCTGGCGTCAGACACTTATTAGCTATGTGACCCTAAGCAAGTCACTTAACCCTGTTTGCCTTAGTTCCTCATCTGTAAAATGAGTTGGAGAAGGAAATGGCAAACCATTGCAATATCTTTGCCAAGAAAACCCCAAATGGGATCATGGAGAATCAGAAATGACTAAAACAACTGAACAACAGTTATTTGAACCATAAGGGAAGGATCACAGAATAATAGGATTTAAAGCTGGAAGAGATACTACAGATCATCCTCAACCTAGTCCAACTAGGTTTTACAGAGGAAACTTGGACCTAGAGGTTAAGTGACTTACCCGAAGTCATACAAATCATAGGTATCAAAGCCAAGATTTAAATCTCGAGCATCTGGCTTCAGATGCTTAACGCTTTGACAGACTGCCTAAAGCACTCATTTGTGGCTAATATCCCAGCAATAAGCTTCTTCCCAGAGTATATTAACAGAGAGGTAGGTACCTGCCTTGCCCCTCCTATGATGTGCCAGTTTTAACACCATGTACAGGTGCCCTTTATCAGACACCATAAGGAATACCACTGGCTTGCCTTTCCCCAGCAAATAAATGTCATATCAGGCCTGAGAATTATAATTCAGAAATGACGCATGAACCTAGTTTCCCATAGTACTACTGTAAACCAAATACTATGACCTCTGAAAACCACCAAACGACAGCTCCTTTGACTGGCAGCCAGCTCTTAACTAGTAAAATGTGAGGCATAACTGCCTGGGTTAAAGTCATTCATCTTCCACCCAGCTAGGCTCTGATGGTAAAGACACCAGAATCCCAGCCCACAGGATGCAGATTCTTAGCAGCTGTTCTATGTCTTACCACAGTTTTTGGTTTGTCAGTCCAGAGATTCCTGGAAATTAAGGAGTAGACACTCAAATGAATGTCTCAAGAACTATGTTCCCCTCACAGAGTTGCCATAGTCCATCCTTATGTTCTGACAACCTAGCAGCCAGCCTTGTACACACACCCGCACTGTAAAGGTGATAAGATCATAGATTTAGAGCTTTGAAGGAAGCTTAGGAGACATCAAGCGCAATCTGTTTGTTATGGTTGAAATTTAACAAAAAGATAAACTGAGGCACATTCCTCTGAGCAAGATAACATTTGTTAATAGAGCCATCTGTCTGTCAATAAATAGCTTGCCTCCATTTATGCCAAAGTCTTCAAGCAAAAAGGACAGCTCCCCTTTTATGTTTTAGGGAGAACAGAACATAGAACAGAATGGGGTTGATGACACCATGGAATTGGGGATAATATAATTGGTCATAGAGCTGAAGAGCAGGGAACAGCATGATTGGCTGGAAGTTTGGTAATGGGGACTAGCAATGACCCTCTCCCTCCCTTCTGAGAGTCCAGGTGCAAGATAATGGGCCAGACTTTTGGACAGCAAACCAGACATCCTTGACGGATAGCTTGGTGGGGTAAAGATATTAGACCCCACTCTCTTGTGTTCACATGTATTCCTCAAGGTCAGCTAAATTCCTGGAGACAAGAATAGATCAGTGATTAGCAGGAGAGCTGGATTTTTAAACTTAACCCATTACAGACAAACTGAATTCTGAACCAAGTTCAGAGACGAAGAACCAAGACTTAAACAGTTACATGACAGAAGCAATTAATTGTAAGTACGATCAATAAGAAAATGATACAGGATCAATTCAATCTTCTCATATTCTTTGTAGAGATGGGGAACTGTGACTTATGCAGTGTCATCAGAGAGTAATAAGTAGAAGTAGGATTTGAATCCAGGTCCTCTGACTCCAAATCTGGTGCTTTTTCCCATTACATGGTAGTAAAGAAAGTCAGTTGTATTTATATACAATAAGTGTTTATGTGTTCATGAGACAAGTTGTAGAGTCCAAAGGAAATGTGGGCATTAAAAAATAGCAATAATGTAGGTTGATAAAGTTCAGACGTTTCTCATGTGTACTTAGGCCAATAAAAGCCATGTAGATGAAGCAGTATCATTGGAACACCCACACTTGTGCTCAGGAGTGGAGAAAAGATGTCCAAACTCCCTGAAATCCTTTTCTGTTTCATTTTTTTCCCTTCAGATACAATGCTTGCATACATCAGTGCTTTGAAAGGAGGACAAAGAGTGCTGGGAACATGGTCAATGGCTTGGCCAACAACGCGGAAATTGATGACAACAGCAATTGTGATGCCACGGTAGTGCTCCTTAAGAAAGGTAACCGCGAAGGTAACAAACTCCAGGAGGGAAATGCTAGAAAATTACTCATTCTGCCTATTTCCAAAGCTTCACAGAGGGTGTGGGCAACTGCTCAAGGAAGCTGATCACGATTATTAGGATTAAAAATGCCAGATATTCAACCAAACATTTTTTATGATCAAGCATCCTCTATTGTGTATCCCATACTGGGCACCTAAAGGAGGAAGTCTCCTGGGGAAGGTGATTAAAGAAGGGAAGGGTTCAGCTCTTCCTTTATTCCCAGTTCATCTTCAAATGCAAGAGAACAGAGGTCCATATCTGGAGACTAACCAGCCTAAAAAACGCTCGTGAAAGCTCTTAGACTAAATGTCAACAGTTCAATAGCTGGTGACTTAACGAGGTAAGGTGGTACAACAGTCCAAATGTATTTTCAAGTTACACAGCCTCACTTTCCAGTATTTGAAATGGGCACAGAAAATTACTTTTTTTTTCAAAGAGACTCAACTAGAGCATTTAACTAATTCACTGAAATACTAAAAAGCAATAATTTAGTATGATGGTTCCATTAGGTTGAACAAATACTATTTCTTTATATGGCAGCACATGCAATTTAACTCAAGCTGTGATGTTTTATTTTTCATTAACATAGCTGTTATTCTGACTTAATTAATTTCCTTTTCAAAGCTTCCCCTTGAATTGCTGAGGTTTTGCTTTTTTTTTCCCCCTCTGTTTCACACAAGCTCTTTTTGTATCAAAAAATTTTAAGACCTACAGATTATTTCTAATTTCTTCCCTGCCCTTCCCATTGAAGTCTGAAGATGATTGTTCCATTTTGTAAATTAAAGAACTTGTAAAATGTTTCCTGGCAAATATGTTCATGTTTCATGAAAGACCAGATCTTTGGGACTTAGTTATTTGGTTCCATTCTGCACTGGGGCTTCATTCCAGTACTTCTATTTTCTGGCCTGTTTATACTCCAAAGAAGGAATACTCCCAGAGAACCAGAGTAATTAGTTCAAGTTTATTCAATATATTTAAAAGATTATTTCAGAAATCTGTGGCTTAGAAAACAGGGGGAAACTCTAGGATAGCATGACTATAGATATGGGATGCCAAAAGATTTCATATTCATTGGCAAGTATAAGAGAAATAACTAGATTTTTAGTATTGGAAACTGTATCCTGCAGAGAATTATGAAGTAACTAACACATCATTATAAACATTCCTGAAAATGAGGAATGTATGTGTGTGTGTGTGTGTGTGTGTGTGTGTGGAGAGAGAGAGGATACACACACACACACACACACACACACACACACACACACATGAAAAACTAAAGAGGTAAAGATAAGGAAGTCAAGAGAAAACTATTTTTCTACTGAACACATCTGAATGAAATAAGAATAGACCATTGAAAGAAAGAGTTTACTTTCTAATGGCTTAGCTAACATTTAAGTGAATGATGAATGTAACACTGAGTCACATTCCACTTTTAGAGTTTAAAGGTACTTTGAAGATTATCTAGTCCAAGCCCATTTTGTTACCAGTAAGAAAACTGAGCCCAATTTATATGAATTTCCTCTAAAACAACTACTGATTAACACCTTTCACTTGTCACAAAAAAACTTTTGATTAGCGATTTGGACTCTTCTCTAAGTGGTACTTGGGATATATCTTGCTACTCCCCATCCTGACTTGAGTGTTTCTTTTATACACAGCAAATTTCCACCGCAAAGCTTCAGTGATCATGGTGGACGAGCTACTATCAGCATATCCACATCAGCTCTCTTTTTCTGAGGCCGGGCTCCGGATCATGATTACCAGCCATTTTCCCCCCAAAACTCGGCTCTCCATGGCCAGCCGCATGTTGATTAATGAGGTAACATCCAGCTTTTCTGGAAATGGGGCAAAAAGTGGAGGGAGGGAATGTTTTCAGAGAACCTGACTTACAAAGCTTCTACCTATAAATTCAAAACATTAATGAACTGAGATTTCATTAGGGTGCAAAAGTGCTGGTGAGGGAATTCATTTCACTGATGGAGACAGTAAAGGATCTTGGATACTAGATAAGTAGTAGATAGGACTTAGTAGGTAAGTGCTAAGAAGTTGACTGAAATACTAAGAAGCAGCCTGCCAAGTTCTTTCAGTATCAGAGGCAGATTAGAACTCAAGTCCTACTGATAACAAGTGCAACACTCTCTACCAGACCAGGCTGCATTGGTTATATTAGACAACCAATAATTGCCCAACAGCCATTTCCCAAAAGCTCAATGCTAACTCAGCTAGAGGTGAGTTCTTTCACCATCCTTTCCATCACATTTTATGAGATAGGAATCTAACTATGGTATAGACAAAATTTTAGATCACTCTCTCAACTCCCTTTTGGATGTGTGTATGTGTGTGTGTGTGTGTGTGTGTGTGTGTGTGTGTGTGTTTCAGCTCTTGGCTCCCTACCTTCTCTCTTAGCTTCCTAACAGTTTTCAGCCTCCATTTTAACAATATACCATCACGAGAGCTTGCACTATGAGAGCTGGGTGCTTTAAAGAGGCTGTTGATGAAATTAATATAAAGATATTCCATGTCCCAATGACCCTACTACCACTTATACCTTTATGTGGTCTGCACTTTGGATTTTGCAGGCATGCAAAAGATTTGCTGAACTAGCTATTATTTTGAGTAATCACCAGACTTATTTAGTAGCTCATTTAAATGTGACTCCAGGGTCTGCTGGAAAATCCTATGCCACTTCTTCATGACTGGGTTATATAAATCCTGACAAACTGCATTTGGGGTCTGCCCTTACTTACCAAGAGTCTGCACCATTTACAATCCTTTCAGTTACTCTAGCCAAGTAAAGAATGTGTGAACTTTTTCCCCTCCAGAGGCAAAGATTAATAAACAGCAGAGCATATGCAAATGGAGAGTCAGAGGTGGCCATAAAAATTCCCATCAAGCATGCTGTTGAGAATGGAACAGGACCCAGCAATGCCCCAGAGAGGGGTGCGAATGGGACCCGAAGGGATGATGATGTCACTGAGGCTGGCAATGAAACTGAGAATGAGAACGAGGACAATGAGAACAATGAGAATGATGAAGAAGAAGAAGAGGATGATGATGATGATGATGATGATGATGAGGGACCTTACACTCCATTCGACCCACCCTGTAAGAGGTCCTAAGTCCTTGTTTGTGTTTGGGAATAATTTTAAGCCCACAGGGCCCAAGAATAATTTTCATCATCTAATGAGTCAATACACATGTATTTTTGTTTGTTTGTTTTGTTCAGTCATTTTCAGTCGTGTCTCTGTGGCCCCATTCGGGCTTTTCTTGGAAAAGATACTGGAGTAATTTGCCATTTCCTTCTCCAGCTCATTTTACAGATAAGGAACTGAGGCAAACAGAGTTATGTGACTTGCCCAGGGTCACACAACTACTAAGTGTCTGAGGCTGGATCTGAACTCATGAAGATGAGTCTTCCTGATTCCAAGCCCATTATTCTATATACTAGCTGCCTCAACACATGTATGTTGAATATAAAAATACACACTATTATGTACCTCTGTTGAATTCCATTCACTAATAAATACTGAATGAAGAATATGAACATGAATTACTAACTCCAGGTTGAATGAATATTCATCATTTAATGGAATTTCAATATTAACATCCCTCTATCATGCTGCATCCTGATAGGCTCTCAGAAGCTGTATTCTCTAGTTTTGTAATAGGATTATAACAAATAAATCACATATATTAAGCCTTGATATAGTAAAGAAATGCTTACACACTCAAGTGTGAATCATAGTCACTGGTCATTTGAAATGGTGCCAAGGCTTGGCTACCAGTGTGTGGTTTGTCCTTCAGTCTCAAAGAGGATCATGTCATCAGGAAGATGATGACATGACTTGCAATTGAATTGGATTTGAGTGAGGGAGGGCTGTGCAAAGTCACCAGCCTCACTTTCTCCTCCAGAGTCATCTGGGCCCAGGGGTCAGATATAGTATACAGATATAGATATAGATATAGACCAGTGAACTCCAACTGGAGTCTCCAGGTAGTAGAAAGCTACAGGGGAGCCCATTGGAAGGCAAGAGAAAGATAGAAGAGGTAGAGAAAGAGGCGATTTGGTGCCCCACATGCAGGGTGTGTACCCATCCACTGGCTTGAACAAGATAGTAGTTAGAAGGCTGAAAGCTGCTGCTCCAGCAGCATACACAGGAAAATTATTACAGTGGGGAAGTTGTTGGGACTTGAGCCAAGCAAGCAATGGTAAAGAGAAGAATGTACCTGAGCCTAAATACTCTGCCTCCAGCCTCCCTTCAGTTTCCCCACATAGCAGTTCCTATAATAATTAAAGCACATGTTCAGCCCCCTTCCCCACTAAGATATTTTAAATTATTTTTTTTCTTATGGCCTAGGAGAGAAGGAAAAGGAAAATGTGTCAGTGAGTGGCATCCACCAGACAGCAAGATTTAATCTGTGGCATATCATCATTAGTAGTAATTGGGGTTCTTTGTCATGAAGTCTATAATTAGTTGAAGTTTTGGTTATACTTCCCGTATTCTTTTCTTAGTGTTTTCCAAAAGAGTTTGGTATTTATAGGATAATAATAATGGTATTTATATAGTAGTTTTAAGTTTAAAAAGTATTTTACAGATTTTACCTCATTTTGAGCTTTACAAACCACTCTTTATAATAGCTTCATTTTACAGATGAGGAAAGTGAGGCTAAGTCTCGTACTGGTGGAATTTCACCTGAGTGGGAAAGTCATTTTGAGGGAATGAGGACTTCTTCTTTTCCTTCAGTTATACCACGAATGGGAATTTAGACAGTTTTAAGAGAGGTATAGCATCCATAACTCTAGAGGTGAGAGTTCCACTGTACTTTGCTTTGTCTAATGTGGATTCAGCCTTTATTTTGTCATAGACTCTTTTGTCAGCCTAGTGAAGCCTAGGGACCCCTTCTCAAAATAATGTTTTAAAGGAAATATATTTGAAGGATTTGAAGGAAATGGTCATTTCAGTTAAAGTTCAGTGGTTGGCTTTTTTCCATCCAAGCTCACGGACCCTCTGAAATCCATCCATGGGCCTCTTGAGGGTCCATATCTGGCATATTGTGTGCAGTTCTAGACATAACAGTACAAGGAATTCATTGGAAGGTTAGCACAAATGCATAGATGAAGAAACAGTATGATTGGGGGCACCAGAGAACTATGCCAGACAAAGGCCAACTGAAGGAACTGAGATGTTTAATATGGAGAAGACTCAAGGGGACATGATAGCTTTCCTCAAGTATTTAAAGGGCTGTCATGTGGAAGACAAAGGCAACGTGAAATAATGGGTAAAGAGCTGGCATCAGAGCCAGAAAGACCTGGATTCATATTGTGTCTATCATACATATTGGCTGTGTGACCTTGGGCAAGTCTCTAGACAGTTCTCTAAAGACCTACATTGTAGAGAAGGTATCAACCTGTAGAGGGATTTTCCTCAACCAAGTACTTCCTTACTAACAAAATTACAAAGTCCAGCCCCTATCCCATATGGAAAGGGGATTAGATTTCAGCATAATATAGTGGAAGGGACATTGGATTTGAAGTCAGAAGACCTGACTTTGAGACATAGCTCTGTTGTACACTAAGTTTGTGACCCTAAGCAAGTCCTCCTGTGGGAATCAGTTCTCATCTGTAAAATGACACACTTGCATAAAATGGTCTGTAAGTTTCCTTCTAACAATCTAACAATTTAAAGCCTAATTTTTTTTTTGCTTAGTCCCAGAGGAAAAAAAAAACTGAGAATAACAGGTAGAAATTGTAGAGGGATGTATTTAAACTTGATATCTGCTAATGGTTAGAGCTGACAAAAAGTGGAATGGGTTTCGGGGTTCTCCCTTCACTAGAGGTTTTAAAGTTAAGATGGCATGATCACTTTTCAGGGATATTGCAAAGTGGATGCTTATTTAGGTATAGGTTGGAACACATGATTTCTGGGGTTTCTTTCAGTTCCGTAATTCTGTGGTCCTATTAGTGCTTATTCTGCGTTATTGAAAAAGCCAGTCCTGGGCCCATGCAAAAGTGGCATGGGCCTTAATCCTTTCGCACTTGAATCAGGTCATAGACAACGTGCAGTATGTAATCCAGAGCTCTCTAGGGACTGAGTAGGAACTTGCTCCATGGTCAACTTCTAAACATATATAAGGTGCTTTAGAAATTTTAAATTGCTACATAAATGTTACTTCTTATTATTACCATTAAAATAATAGTAACCAAGAATAAGTAAGAAGCTCCATACATATTAGTTTCCCTAAGAAAAGCAGGGCCAGGCCTATCAAATTTTTACTTTTGGCAGTGTTTTAATGGTAGAAAAAAAATCAGCCATTTTTGCCACTCACTGAAACATTTTCCTTTTCCTCCTAGGCCATAAGAAAAAAATAAATAAATTTTAAATATCTTAATGGGGAAGGGGGCTGGACATATGCTTTAATTATTATAGGCAACTGCTATGTGAGGAAACTTCCTCTACCAAAGTAGGTCAGCATCTTCTGCCACTCATAGTCTCATATATTAGAGGCAGGTAGGTGGTGAAAGTGGATAGAGTGTTAGGCCTGGAGTCAGGAAGACCAGAGTTCAAACCCAGCCTCAAACACTGCTAGCTATGTGGCCGTGGGCAAGTCACTTAATCTCAATGTTCTCATCTGTAAAATGGGATAGCAATAGTATATATCTCCCAGAGCTGTTATGAGAATCAAAGGAGAGAATATTTTTAAAGTGCTTAGCACAGGGTCTGGCACAAGGTAAGTACTACATAAATACTAGCTGTTATTATTGTTGTTGTTGTTGTCTAAGTAGTGCAGTAGCTAGAGCACTAGGCTTGAAGTCAGGAACACCTAAGTTCAAATCTAGCCTCAGATATTTACTAGATGAGGAACCGTGGGCAAGTCATCTAACTTCTGCTTCGGTTTCCTCTGCAAAATGGGGATAACAATAGTACCAACTTCCTAGACTTGTCAGGAGAAAATGAGATAATATTTGTAAAGCACTTTACAAACCTTAGCCCACTCTATAAATCATTGTAGTAGTAATAGTAGTAGTAGTGGTGGTGGTAGTAGTACTAGTGGTGGTGGTGGTGGTGGTGATGGGGGTGGTAGTAGTAGTAGTTGTTGTAGTCATAGTAGTTGTAGTAGTTATAGAAGAAGAACTAAAAGGTTAAATGATTTGACCAGAGTTACCAATGCCATACGTGCAGGGGCAGCCTGTCTAAACACTGTGCTACCTTGTGTCTCTTTAACTACCATAATCTGAAATATTGTTCCATTCCTCCAACTGAAATCCTTTATTAGAATTCCATTATGGGAGCCTGCAACTGAGCTTCGGGAAATGCTTGTTTTGCTGATGTCTTTCTCTGACTGAAAAATGGCCAGGTGAATCATGTACTTTTTCCATGTGCTGGTGGCCTTACTATACAGTATGCATATTCATTCCAACAGACAGACTTTAAAGATATGTTAAGGCAAGTAAACTATGGCCCAAGGTCTAGGCCACTGCATTGTGCTTCTGCACTGAGCCCCAGTCTCCATCATCCAGTCTGCTACTCTTGACTCATATTACTTCTGCTTCCTTGCACAAATAAATTCTACTTACCATGATAGAGCAGATCATGCTGGGAAGAGACTGCAAAAGACCTTCAATTCTGTCTGCCTAATTTTAGGTGATGTTCTGTCTTGAAGATTTAGCCATAGTGGCCCCATTCCAAGTTATTTTGGAAACCTGAAATCACTATATGACTGTTAACTATTGATATTATTAATAATTAAGACTCTGGGCACTGTTCACAAGTTCTCATCAACCCTAAATCAACAAAGATGGACAGCTAGTAGGGAATTCCACCCCTCCAGATTATTAAAAGACCCCACTCATATCTTTGGGGCCCTTGCATGCTTCCTGAAAAAGAGGAACAGGAAAAGAGTGAGAGATGCAAGCAATGGATTTAGAGACTAAAAACACATTTGAATTCTAATTCTGCCAGCTTCTAGTTGGGTGACCTTGGGCAAGTAATTTAACTTCCTCATACCTGACTTTCCTTATCTGCAAAATGAGGGAGTTGAACTAGATGACTTCTAAGGGCCATTCCAGGGCCAAGTCTATAATTCTATGCTACCTCAGTTAATCT